AAGCACGATAATACATTAATACCAATATCAGACAAATATTCGACAACTTTACTTCTGCTGCATTTTTTAACGTTACTCATTGCGAATACCGATTTTTTTACTATGATTTTCTCGGCACAAAGTTTGTCGGTGGCGCATTTTTTTAGACCAATTATTTTATTAGGTTGATTTGGTGGATTTCCTTTAAGCGATGATTGATCGTTAGGGTTGACTTGGTTGGCAACCGGAGAGTTGTTTGTGCGAGCACTTTTTTTGTTTCGAACGACCACGCTGTATGGCAGAGGGTTGTCATCAGTCGGTGTCGTAATTTCGTCGGACCAAAACATGGCTGGTTTGGAGGTAACAGCTTGCTTGTTCATATCGGAGTTAACTGCTGACGGAACTGAGTTTATGTTCAGTTTCGAGGTATTTTTGTCTTTATTGTACGACAAACAGTTTATTTTGTTGTTAAGCGCCGACATATCATGTGTATGCACGTCTATTGTTTGCACTAATTTATTTTTCAAAGAAGTTATATCTTGCGTGTGCACGTCAAGTGTTTGTATGAGTTTGTTATGTTGAGTGTACAACATATTTTTTAATTCATTTTTCAGAATTTCAAAGTTTATTTTGATGACATTTTCGAAGTTAGGAACATTAGATAAATTAACGCTGGCAAATATTGAGCACTTATCCATAAGTTTTTCCTCTTTCAAAAAAATAAGAATTTGTGTTAATACTAACAGTTTATCGCGTCTTGTGTTGCCACGTGAAGTAGGTTTTTCAAACTTTTCAATTTTAACATTTTCCAACTCTAATTTCAAAATTTTTTGAGCGTCAATAAAGTCCTCGTTGGAGAAAAATTCAGCAGTATTATTTATAAACGTCTCATTATCAAATAAGTCGAAGTTACCAACCAAAAAATAAAAAAAAAAAAAAAAAAAAAAAATATATATATATATATGTTTTATATATATATATATATATATATATCAATATATATGTGCATATGTGTAGTTATAAGTAGTAGTATTATTATCACTATTTACTGTTACTACTATACTACTGCTGCTGCTTCTAAATCTACTACTACTACTACTACTACTACTACTACTACTACTACTACTACCGTGATAATTCGTACAGTTACTGATACTACTATCATTTCTCAGTCTCCGGCTTAATGTATAAAACTTTTTAAAAAGCAATTTAACTCTTCCTATGTTACATCCGATGATGGCTATGACGATGATAATGATGATGATTATGATGATGACGATGATAAGGATGATGATGATGATGATGACGAGAAATAGAGGACGAAAATATATAAAATAAAGTATTTAAAAAGAGGTATTTAGTTCATTTTTTGCGGTACGTAAGTTTTCTTTGTTACATATTTATTGTATCTGTTGTGCTTTCGACCTGTCCCATTATCCAAACGTCTTGTTTATCTTTCTATGCTGCTATGTGCGTGTGTATGTTTGTTTGTTTATTTGTATGTATGTTTGTGTGTGTGTGTATGTATGTATGTGTGTGCGTGTAGGTAGGTATGTATGTAGTTTCATCTTTCTTTGTTTATTATTCTTTTTGCCGTTTATCCATTTTACTGTTTATGTTTTGCATATAAAACTATTTCCTTATCTATGTATACCTTTCTGGCCGCCCGTCAGCATAAGCAATATATCAAGTTCTCGTTATTGTTTATTATTATTATTATTATTACTACTACTACTGTTTATTATTACTATTATTATTATTAATATTATTTATGCAGTTGTTGTTGCTGTTGTTGTTGTTGTTGCATATTTCGCCATTTCATCTCAACATCATTTATCTTCTTTAGGCGTTCTACGTCGTCGTCGTCGTCACCATCATTAGTTTAATAGTAATAATAATAATAACATTGATAATGATAATGATATTTTTTTTTTATTTTATCACAGAGGAGAGTGTTGGAGATGAGAAGGAGGACACCACCAACAAATCATCACCATCATCGTCGTATGTCGATGATGGTGATGGAAATGGTAGTAGTAATAGTAATAATAGTAATAGTAATAATAATAATAGTAATAATAATAATAATAATAATAATAATAATAATAATAATAATAGTAGTATTAACGATGTCTCTATAAATAAAAAAGTAATCGTAATAACGCCAATGTCGTCGCCTTCATCATCGTCGTCGTCGTCAGCATCCACAGCCACAAAAGCCACGTCGTCTTCTTCGCCGACAACTTCATCATCGTTTTCGTCATCGCTATTGTTATCGTCAACAGAATGTGATACATTCCATTTATCATCGTCATCGTCGTCATCTTGTATAAATGTAACCAAGGGTAGGGCATTTTTAGCCAATGCAGCACCATCAGCATTCATCTCGTTGCTACTCTCTTCAAAAAAACTACCCACAACAATGACGTCATCCACAATGACATCATCGCAAACAACATCAACGACGACGCCAAAATTACCAACAACATTAATCACAACACTGTTATTATCGACGACGACAACAGCAACAACATTGAAATGTACATCGACATCATCAACAACAACAACATCACCGCCATCTTCGTCAAAAACAACAACGTCATTATCATTATCTATATCATCAACAACAATAACAACGATGACGTCATCGAAAACTTCATCAACGATAATAACAACAACAACATCGACCGTGGCTACCAATATGACGGCGCTATCGAATTACTCTGTAATGTCAACAACGTCATCACCATCCTCTTCCTCTTCCTCATCATCATCCTCGTCGTCATCTTCATCATCAGCTTTATCATCTTTGTCGTTTTTATCGTCGCTATCACCTCCGTCATCAACACACACTAAAACTACTGAGTCGCAACATCAAGAATGTTGCGGTAAATTTTGCAATCGGCAACAACAACATCAACTATTACACCAACAACAGCAGCAGCAACAACAACATCAGCAGCAGCAACAACAACAACTACACAACAACAAACCATGGTGTGCTGTTGCTTATTGGGAATGCTCTAAGCTTATTGGCCAACAATCATTCAACCATTCGACGTCCTACGTAAACATTTTTCAACAGTCGAAGTTTCAAAAAGAGTTCCAACAACATCAGCAGCAGCATCAACAACATCAGCAACTGCAGCAGCGGAAGCAACAACGACAGCTAGTGAAAAATCTTCATACAAAACTAGATTCACCTTCATTATCATCTTCATCGTCGCTCAACTATAAAATTGAGCGTAAAAAAGAAAGAATAAAGAAATCATTATCATCATCTACAGTAGCTCTGATATCGTCATCATCATCATCTTTCTCATCATTATCATCATCATCATCAACTTCGTCATCATCCTCGTCACGAATTTTCAACGGCGAAATGATATGCCTAGAAGTAATGCAGTCATCTCCATGCAGCGACGCGGCCATTTTGAAATGTCGGCCAAAGATAGGAATGGGCGTAGTGATGTGCCGGCAAGAGAACAATGGCCGAGTTTGGCTTCATAACCGAACTAAATACCCTATTTTCGTGTCTAAGTCAGAGGACACCGCAAAACGAATACATGGTCGACGTTGTTGTTGTTTATGCTGTTGTTGTAGTTGCGAATGTCTTTATAATTGCAATTGTTGTTGGTGTGGTTCGAATTTCAATGAACTAAGTAATTTTAACGTTAATAATATCAATAATCAGTGCATATGTAACAATAATGGTGATGATGATAATAATGTTAATGATAGTTTTGGCATTAACGATGATTATTATGCTTCTAACAGTCATCATCGTCAACAGCATTATAGTTTATGTTCAAAAGATAAGGACAACAATAATAATAAAAATTGTAATAATAATAATAATGATATCTCAAAACACACTGTGAATAAAAACTCTAAATCCTGGAAAAACCCATGTGATAATTATAAACCGAAGGTCTCCAAATGGGGCTTGAAGGTCACCAAATTGTTACCCGGCCACTGCATGAAGATACACGACCCCAATCCAACTATTGACGGGACAAAACGCAACTGTTGTTGTTGTTGCTACTGTTGCTGCCATGCTAACAAACGTATTACGACTAACAATAAACGTCAAACCGATCGTTGTTGCCCTTGCCATAAAAACCATGATTGTTGTCGCAGTGAGAGTAGGGGTTGTCGCGGAAAGCAAAGTTTCCCTAGCAACCAAAATTGTCATGGTTGCGTGACAAATTGTGGCAATCAAAGCTCTTCCTATGACGAATTTCCCAGATCAGATAATGGTCGGTACTGTAGTAGCGTGCAGGTGAGCTTCGCTAAAGGTTTCGGTAGAGAATACACAAGACAGTCCATTTTGTATTGCCCATGTTGGTTTGAGGTACTGTTTAACATCAGTGAAGGTGTAGTAGATTGATAGATGAATTAGGATCATTTTTATTTATTCACGTCAGGTTTTTTGGCTAATTAGGTCACGAGATTGTTAATTTTAAATGCTGTATAACTTGTCATGCAGTTAATAAAAAAAAATCTTGTCTGTTATATTTTTTTATGTTTTATTTTTTCTCAATTGTTATTTTGAAGTTTTACCGTGTTTCTATTTATTCGTCGTTGTTATTTATTTTGTAATTGTTACGAAAATAAGCTGGTGATGAAGTGGGTAGAACTATAAACTTCTCTATGAGTCATAGTTGGCGGGTTCAAATACGCGTTGACGCCACAAATTTTGCTAGTTATATCAATTATCCAGAAATTCCCGAAATGACATGAAAACTGAAACTAATGGGGTTTTCCAGATTCTATATTTCAATTTGTGAACGTTAAAATCATATTCTTCGTGATGGATATTTCATTGAGTATTTTTATTATATATATACATCCGTGGTTTTCCAATATGTATATGTATATATTAATATATATATATATATATATATATATGCAGTATTGTATGAATATATATATATATATATATATATATATATATAGTTGTTGTGACGTCATTTAGTTGTGTATTTTTACTTTATTTTATTGAATGAATTTTTACAATTTTGTATGTGAATTACCTGTCTGTGAAGTTTTGATATATATATATATATATATGTGTGTGTGTATGTGTGTGTGTGTGTGCATGTGTGCGTGTGTGTGTGTGTTTGAATGTACGCAACGCATGTCATGTATGTGTTTCTTTCTTTTTTACTTCATGATTCGTGCAACTTATTGAATGGAGCAAAACAGGGTTTAATAATGTTATAAACTTATTATTACAAATAATTTCGTTATAATAATAATAATATAAATGATAATAATAATTATCATTGATAATAATTATCATTATTGGATGAATGGGTAGATAGATGGATGAATGGATGGATAGATAGATAGATTAAAGCGAACAATTATTTATTAAAAATTTTTATTGATTTTAAGTTTTAACACTTTTTTTAAATAAATGAATTTAATTTGTAAATATTGAACTTTAAATGTGTACAGTGCTTATAAAATTACAAATATTTTGATGTCTAACTTAATGTGTTTTCATTATCATTTACATTCTTATCGTCATTTTGTTTTGGTGAAGTTTACCTAATGTTACTCTCACCTTATAGTAATCATCTTCATTTACGTCATTCAAGCATACATATTCGTTCATTCATTCATTTATTCTTTTATTCGTTCATTCGTCTACTCATTCATTCGTTCCATCCTTCGTATGAATATCGAAAAATCATTATATAAACCCAACCGAAATTCACGTGGACTAAAGTACCACGTGAATTTCGAATACATGTACATTGTACTTATTTGTAGACCAGGGTTGTTAAAACTCAAACATTACATCACAAATACTAATACCGGCTTTAAAAGATATTGCCGATACTAATACAACTACTCAGTTCACGATTAAACAGTTTCTTGCAATTTTTTACCCACCCAAAAAAGGACAGCAAGATGAGAACCAGTTTTTAAAAATAAATACCCAAAAGATGGCGAAACTTCATTTAAAATCCCGAATTCACCACTCAAAAACGCGCTCATTAGTCACTTATAACAATATAACAAATTGATCGAATATACCAGAAATTCGTATCGTCTAACGAATTTCTTCTGTCTAGAAAGTATCGGCCATGCCATCAATTCGATGTTCTGCATGAATAGTATTACCCATTCCAAAGGCAATACGATATTGACAACCCTGATGTCTTAGGACAGGGGTGGGCAAACTGCCAAACTATGGCCCGCAAGGCTTTGTTCGCCGAAAAAAGATCGACCAAAAAAGGAGCCACCAATCTTAAAAAAATTTACCCCCGGGCCGGAAAAATTTGCTATTCAAGTACATATACCGCTCTTCAAAGTTAAAATAGTTCTCAATGCGGCCCTCACAGCAAAAAGTTTGCCCACCCCTGTCTTAGATGTACCGACGTAAATGATTACAAACTTATACACACACACACACACCACACACATAAACTCACCTCTTATGTGCAATCATCGCTTTAATATAAACAATTGCATTTTACTCAAAAAACATACCTTATTGCGTGTATAGTAATGTTAATATAACTTCGTTGTTGACATTGATATGAGCTTCTTACATAATTATTGCACGTGTATGTATTTGTATATGCATACATACATATTTGTGTAAATTAATGAGTTTATATTGTAAATTATTTATTTTATTATTTTAAGTTTATTATTCGTTTTTTTTTTATTAAATTAGCATCGTATTTAACGTTGAATTTCTATTAGATTATGACAAAGAAATAAAAGTATCCTTCTTACAAAAATAAAAGAGCCTTTTTTTCAAATTTTTTCAAAAATATAAAGTTGAACAAGTTTAATCAAAAATAATAATAAGTATAATAATAATTATGTAATAATAAACATTTATAATAATAATAAGCAACCAAAAATAATTAGTATTTGTATCGTTAAGATCATACACTTAAGATACTTAAGACCGATTTTATTTACCATTACGAAGTTTTAACATATCAGTATTCAAAAGTATAATAATGAATAAATAGTCAATCACATTGTACAATTTCCAAACGAACTTAATAATAAATATATGACAGAAATATTATTTCAATAAGTAACAATAATAATAATAAATAAAGACTAATTTACCTATACCATTCCAATCATTAAAACAAGGAGTTTAAATGCCAACCAATCACGTTTTCACATTCAAATAGCCAATCAGAAAAGAGAATTTAAATCGTCCACAGCCAATTAGAACTCTCTTCTGTGGTATCTGTCTGGATCTATGTAGCTGGTCACGACGACGCGATTTGCAAACTTTCTCCCCGCCAAATTCTGTTGAGCATTTTCGCAGTCGACCACGGAATGAAATTCGACGAAAATCTTTTGAAAAATAAAAAAAAAATTCAATTAACGTAATTAGTAAATTGATTCGTGTTAATAAACTGGAATGATAATTAGATACTTAAATTGAGTAGGAAATATAATTAGGAAGTAGTATAAGTTATAGCAGTGGCAGTAGTGGTAGAGTAATATACATGTCAAAATATTTTGCTTGTGAAAAAATAAAAAACCCACTTTTCCAACTCCCGGGACTTCCACTCCTTTGATTGGTCTGGGAATTTCCAAACTTTTGACTGATCCATATTTACTGCATTCCTCTCTGACGTCATCCAAAATTTCTAAAAAGAGAAAAAAACAAAATTGTAATAAAATATTGTTTCAATAAATGGCCACCGGCAGAAGAAGTTTATAAACCTCCATCCATTCTCTACACTAACAGAATGGTCAAGATGTGTAACAAGAAAATTGATAAACAAAAGAGGAAGAGAGAAAAGTGGTAGATATGAGAAAGAGCGAGAGAGAGAAAGAGAGAAAGAAAGAAGGATAGAGAGAGAGAAAAGAAAAGAACTAACCATCATATTCCTCCTCATCTTCCAACTCCTCTGGTGTCACCATGTTCATGAGACAGAGTATCTCAGTGGAAGTATTGGATGTACTACTACCTGTGACATCGCTTATATTCAAGCCTGGGATCTGAAGATTGGTTAACATGGCTCCGCCCTTGATGGCAATTAAATTTTTTTAATTAATTAAATATATTTTAATTTTAACAAAAAAACTAATATATTTTAACAAATTTTACCACATAGTAACTAACTAGAATTGTAATTTTTTAAAATTAAATATAATTATAAAACCGAAAGTGAAACTAACAGCAAGAGGATTTTTTCCAATGCTGGCCCTTTGAACAATCAACTTTTTGTCACCAAGTTGCATGCCATTCAATCCTAAACAGGCCTGTTTTGATGATGAAAATGAGAAAAGTGATGATGGTTATTGAGATGATGGTGGTAATAAAAATGAATATAAAGAATAGAAAATGACGAGATCAAGTGATAAAAATGACAACCAGCTAGCCAACCAATCAGCCAACCAAAGCTAGCCAACCAATCAGCCAACCAAAGCTAGCCAACCAAACCAAACAAACCTGATCTGTAACATTGGGGTCGACGTACTCACAGAATGCATAACCCTTCGACAGCCCGGTGGCAGAATCCTTAACGAGATTGAACGCTTTCAGGGGTCCAAATGACGTCAGTAGTTCTTTAACCTAATTCGTGTGTGAAATTAGTCGAAGGAAACGATAATTAAATATATTCTATCTAAGATCTTTGTACGGTTTTCCAAATGTAACATCTGGAAAAATAAAAAAAAACATTTAAAATTAAATTTTCTTAAAAGTCTGCCTTACATAATACAGAATTTTGAAAAATCTCTGCAAACATAACGCGTACATATAGAGGCTTCTGTGAAACAATGTGGCCTGCCTAGTCTACATATAAAAACCGTTATAAAAAGCAGTTTTTTTTAAGATAACAACAACAGCCCTGCTAATTCCAAAACTTTTTTGTCACAGGCTGAAATAAATAAATAATTGAAGCTAGGGAGAGGAGGAGAATCCTGTTTAAATAAAATCCTGAAAAAATATGTTTAAGTTGCCTGGAAGAAAAAAGCTAAAAATATTCTGCTTTATGGATAAAGACCTGTGTGAATATATGATATCCTGCAAACAATTAACTCTGAATATATCACTCTCAACATTTATCACACTCACTAATTCTCCCTCCTTCCATAATTTTTATCTCTCTTTTTTTGTACCTAACTGCAAAAAAAAGAGAGAATTTCCCTGAAATTTTTTTCTAAAAAAAAGTGAATAAATTTAATACTAATTAAAGTATTAATTTATTTATTAAAGTATTAATTAATTTATTTAATATCAAGGAAAAGTTTTTTAATTTATTTAGAAAAATGTTGCCACTAGCCTGCCACGTGTTTGTGATGAGAATGTTACACATAACATATAACACACACACACACGCTATATGTTTTAATCTATAAAAAATCACATTTTTGCATCTTATTTTTTTCAGAGTTTCATTAAAATGCATGAAAAAAAATCATAATAAAAAAGCGTATACAGAGATATAAATGTATCGTAAAAAAAATATACATACAGAAGAAGTTGTACACACGTGTGTACAAACATAAAATACGCAGATACACTCACCTGATCATCATTGAGATAGTTAGGCAGACAGGCAATAAAAATCTTGTATGGTGTGTCTCCGACAAGTGTAGATACAACACCTGTGATAAAAAATATCAATAATTAATTAATTATTTAATTAATCTATCAATCATTTATTAATTAATCATTCGATTAATAAGTAAATCTTCTACAGAATGAACTTAAAAATGAAACAGTTCAATCAAGTTTAAAACAAAAACACATAAAAGCGAAAAACAACTCAACAGAGATGGACAAACAAGCAAGAGATCAGTGAACCAATAAAAACACCAATCAGCCCACCAATCAACCAGCAAACAACCAATCAATCAACCAAACAAGCCGCCGACCAACTGACCAACTAACTGACCAGTAACATTAACAGACGGGTTCTCGGTGAGTCCAGGCAGTGGTTGGTAGTCTCTGGGCCTCCTTATCTTCAAGGACTGCCCCTGAAATATGATGCCATCGAATGCCATGGCCTGTGTGCACTCTTCTGCCGAGCGAAACTGTGTTGTTAATGTATTTTTTTTTGTTTAACAAAATTAAAATTTTAAATAATAAAAAGTGCGAAAAAAATAGAAACGAATTGTTTTGAATGAAAGATTGAATTAATAAGGTAAAAAGAGATGAATGAATGGATGAATGAATTAGTTGTCAGTCAATAAATTGATTGATGTTTGCAATGGTAAACTAACATAACTCAAAATCTAAGAACATAAAATCAATATACGGAATTGAATAATTGAATGAAGTCTAAAGTTTATTAACAGATAAATTTAAATATGAATGAATAAATGTATGGATAAATGTATGTATGTATGAATGAATAAATAAACGAATAAATGAATGAATAAATGAATGATTGAAAAGATAAAACAAAATCAAACAAACAGAGAACAGCCAAATAAATGTGATTAAACAATTGATAGCTTACCTCAAGAAAAGCAAAGTTCTTGTCCATGTTGACTTGGCAGGCTATCACTGGCTCTCCGTCTTGTTGCGAAACCCCAGCCATTTTCATTTGATCGTTAAAATGGCTCATCATCATTTCCTGCTCGTTATTCAGTATTTTTGGTAAATGTTATTATGGAGATGTTTAATGTTTGTCTGTATTATTGTTTAATATTGATGCTGCACTTAATGTCATTTAATGTTTACATAGATGTGATTTAGTTCTACTAATTAGCTACTTCGTTAGGTAACTTAGATAGGCAAAAAGTATACCATAACCCAGGAAATAAATAAACCAAATAAAAAAAATGAAAAGAAAAGCCAATGGAGAAGCCAAAACAAACCTCTGTGATACCAAATGGAATGTTTCCAATGTACAATCTCCTGGCCTGTCTGCTCAGTGCATTGTCTACAAAATTTTAAATTGAAAAAAAAAATTTTCATTATGCTCAAAACTTTAGTATAAATTTTTAATAAATAAAAATCACAGTAATCATCTCAGCTAACATTAAAAGTAAACAAAATGCCATCAATATGTTTAGCAGTTATCCATTATGATGTCATCATAAACATTTCTATAGATATAGAAACCATCATCTTCATACACACCATCTCCATATGTTAGCAAAATTAACATACAGTTAACATTAACATCAGCACACTCGTTAACAAAAATATCACCAACTAACTTGTACTCATGGCAGCCAATGAAGCAGCAGCAGCAGTTGGAACCCCCGGGGCCACTGGGACTTGACCAGATGCTGCATTAACATAAATTATTCATATTCTAGTTAGTCATTTTAATATTAATTGTTTCTAATTAAACATTTGTATGTTAATTATTTGTAGATTATGGCATGCAGCTAACCAAGCATGGCTTTGTACTGCATGGGAGTGACATGTTCGAATCCAACAGGTGGAACATCCCAGTATTTGTAAGCCCTCCTCGACTTTCGACTTGACGTTTTCCTGTCTCTAGATCGACTGTTAATGTGTAAAAATCATCAAACAATTAATTATAACCATAATTTTTGATATTTCTAACTTACAATTAAATCAAAATGTAATGAAAATGTAATAGGTAGTTAATAAAAATATATTGATTTTCAATTTTAATTTAAAACTTTTAAATTTGCCTTTTAAATTTTAAAAGACAAATGACCGCACCTTCTCTTCCTATCACGTGATCTCGACCTGTGCCTGTGCTCTCGCTTGTGAGACTTGTGCTTGTGATGGTGGGGTCTGTACTCTTCCATCTCCTCTTCCTCTTGCTGCTCCTCCTCGGCATTATATGCCTCATCGTAGTAACCTTCGTTCAATTAAAATTCAACTTTGATAATGAAGTTAGGATGTTAGGTTGGAAAGTTTATTATTATCACAGAATTAGTTATTCTACAATTTTCGAATGCAATGAAATCAAAAACAATAGCAGCCAATAGATGAAAATTTTGCGACGATTGCTTCGTCAAAATCGTGATGGATTTAGTTTAGTAGTTGGTAATTTAGTTAGTTAGTACATTTGGATTCGCCGGATATTTCGCTGGCACAGACGATAAAAGAAACAAAAAATTTATAATTAAAATAAAACACAAACCGTTATTTTCTTCTTCGTACATACTGAAGAATTAATCAAAAAAAGGATTTATTACAAACAAACGAATGAGCCGAACAAGTGAATAAGATCAGCGCTAACACCAAACTGTATGTATATGTTTATTTATATAACAGCGAAATTTATACGTCGGTTAAGCTGGTTGAATAAAATTGTTAAAAAGATCATGAATCGTTGATAGAATTTATAAATTCACTTTTAGCATTTTCAATCGTTCTCTCAAAGACTCTATCCTTTACTGTCGTTACTTGTGTATTGTTGCGAATTAACTTGGCATCTGATGCAATTTTGCGTTAAAAATCTCATCTTACTTTCAATTTTCTAATTTTTAATCAACAATTTAGAGGCCTTAAAACCTGCTTTTTATACTCGGGCACGATGGGTTTATTTTCCAATGTTGGTACTTTTAATTAAAGTTTTAACATTGAACAAATTTTATATTTTACTAACATCATAATTTAAAATTTTTTTTAGTTTTTCATTTTGACGAAAATAATATTTAATAATTATTGCTCTAAATAATTTTGCAAAATTTAGCTCGTTTCCATGGCCGTTGGTGTTTATGTGGGCATCTACATTGACCAAAATTATCAGGTGTGCAATACTAAATTTTTAAAATATTGTTGAAAAAATGTAAAGTATAATGATAAGTATAATTATAATTATAATTTTTTACTTATTTTTTTAATTAATAATCAGCTAATTAGCAATTAATTTTACTAGGGTAGTGGTTGCATCATAATTTTTTAATAATAATTTATTAGCTGGAATTTAATCAGGCTACATTTTAATTATGATTAATAATTTATATTAATTTTATTAATAATGCCTTTATAAATTTTGTTTTTAAAGTTCTAATTCAAGGGTGGGCAAACTTTTTGCTGTGAGGGCCGCATTGAGAACTATTTTACCTTTGTAGAGCCACATATACATATACTTAATACTTTTTTATTTGGGGGAGAATTTTTTTAAGGTTTGTGGCTCATTTTTTAGTCATAATGTCTGGCTGACAACCTTTTTTTAATGAACAAGGCCTTGCGGGCTGCTTAAAATAGCTATATAGGGCCGTAGTTTTCCACCCCTGTTCTGATTAACTAAATAAAATGTCCATGAATATTTATCATCACAATTGTTATAATTATTAATGATAATCTCTTTCAGATGCCCAAGGCTAACAGTCCTGAAGCACTATGGAAGGCCCTTAATGAATTTATGGAGCAATATAAAAAAGACAAATGAATTATTATTTAACCATTTTTTATTATTTCTATTTGAAAAGTTATTTATTATTATTGTTGAGATTATTCAACTTTTTATGTTAGTATTATTATTATTCATTTGTTTTTTTTTATAAATACCATTTTTTATTTTGTCAACATTTACCACAAAATGAATTCTTTGAATTTCAATCCTAACTTATAATGATAAACAGTCTTTTTTATTTAATGATGACAACCAAAATATCAAAAAAAAAACAATTTTTTTGTCACACTCATGATCTAATATCAAAAACTTGAGTTTTTTATTTAATTTTTCAATAAATAAACGCTTAATAATTAATATTTATCATGTCTGAACATGTTTAATTATGACCTTTTGTTCTATAAACTGTTTTTTTCATCTCAAATAAGAACGAACGGACCATTGAAAATATAGCATTGATGATGTATTCACTCATGTATAAGCATAAAAATCGCACGCACATTTGTTTCGTCATTTTTAAATGTTGTTAATAAATAACTAAATAAATTATATTTATAAATGATAATAATTAAAAGTTTGCGAAAATAAGCGATGCATTTAATTTGTTTGTTTCTAAATATCCAAAACTGTTAAATGAATACATGCACGCATACTCCCGCGTACGGCACACACTTATCAATGATATCTATCTTCATACCGTATCATATACTGTAATTAAAAGTCGTCGTCGTCATCACCATTTCTTTTTTTGACGTTAGCTTTGTTTTCAGATGGTAGAATGACGACATTGTTATCTTCATCATCGGAGTCATTATCGCCATTGCTATCATCATCTTTGTTATCAAAATTATCATACTTGCATTCATCTTGTATGTCATCATCGTCATCATCATCATTGTTGCTGTTTCTGGCCTTATTTGGCGTCAAATTTTTTAATTTATTTTCATTAGAAGCAGCAGCAGTAGTATCCGTATTAGCGTTAACGTCATCGTCGTCATTATTTTTCTTTATATTATTGTCATCATTAGTAATGCTATCATTGGTTTTGTTATTATTGTTGTTATTATTATTATTATTTCCTCTTCTTTTTCTAGCCCTAGGGCCTAGCTGAGATGATGTCGCAGTTTCATTTAAATCACTTGCAACAGATGGCGATGTTGTCGCGGCTGCTCTGTCGACATAATCGTCATTATTACTATTCTTATTATCGTCATTATTATTATTCTTATTTTTCCTACTGCTACTATTACCACTGACGACGCTGCTGTTACTGCGTCGAGTGCTTTTGACGCTTCTGTCGTCGTCGTTTTCAGCACTCTTTTTATGATTATTATTGTTATTATTATTGTTGTTGTTGTTATTATTGTTTTTGTTATTATTTTTATTAGAGTTGAGCCGGTAGTTTTCATTTTTTATCATGGTCTCTTTAGGCGAGTCGGATCCTTCGAAATCGTCCGTGGATGGAGCAGTGTTGGACGTCCTACTCGTCGTAGTCGGTGTTTTCTTGTTGAAATCCGATCGGTAGCTCATCTCCGCTATATCGGATAGTGAGGTTTTACTGAAGATGTTGTTGTTGTTGTGGCCGTTGGTGGTGTGGCTGTACTTGGTAGCGTCAGCGTTTGATTGGTTGTCGGCGTTTGATTGGTTGTTGTAGTAGTTGATGATGTCCTCGGTTTCGTCGTCGTCGTCCTCATTGTTGTTGTTGTTATGCCGTGTGGCTGTTGCATTATCGTTGTCGTCGTTGTTTGTAATTTCGTTGTTTGAATCTTTGTTTTTATGTTTTTTATCATTTCCAGTGTCGTCATCGTCGACGTCACTGCTGTCGGGTTTGCCATCATCGCTATCATCATCGTCATAATCATTATTCTTTTTATTATATTTTTTGATATTATTATTACTCTTTTCCAAATCAACTTCGTGGTTATAATTAGATCTAAAAGTATCATTATTATCATTATTATTATTATTATTATTATTATTATTATTATTATTATTATTATTATTATTATTATTGATACCATGATGATGATAACTCGGTCCAGTATTGTCTAAAACACCGTCATTGCTGTCTAGGCTGTTGTTACCTGTTTTTAACATGGTCGCGTTATCGTTCAGCCATTTCTCTACTATTGTCGTTGTCGGCGATTTTATATTTTGCTCTCCGTTGTTGTTGTGGTTGTCGCAGTTGTCTTTATTGCTTGTGGGCGATTTCAAGGTCAAACTTTTTCTCGGTGCTGGTTTCGGTTCGATTTTGTCGTTCGGATTGCCGTCAGTGATTTTACTATTGGCGACTGGTTTTGAGTTTTTGTTGGTTGCGAATTTTTGTGGAGATGTTGCTGTTTTAGTTGTTGTTGTTGTTGTTGTGGTTGCTGGAGGTGGCTGTAGTTTAGGTTTGCTGTACTGGCCGCTGGTGTAGTAATACTTCTTCCTATTTTTCTTTCTTGGTGTATTTATTTGTTCTACGTTTGCTGGGTTATCTTGATTTTGTGGTTGCTGTTTCCGCTGTTGTCTATCAGAGTGTGGTTGTTGTGGTTGTTTTTGTGGTTGTTGTTGTGATCGTTGTCTATGAGAAAATAGTTGTTGTTGTTGGACTGGTTTGGACTGCTGTTGCAACTTTGTATTTGAAGTTAGCGTAGATAAATTTAGCTGGGTATTAGGATGCGATGTTGCTGTTATTTTAGCCGGCTGTAGATGCATGTTACTTTCAATGTTACCACCACTAACAACGTTATTGTTAGCCTTAACGGCGTTCGTCATAGCTTGTTTTTCGATAGCGTCAAAGCCTAAATCTCTCCTTAGATCGTTCACTAGTTCTCGCATTTTACTCTAGATGAAAAGTAGTAAAAAATAAAATATTCAATGGCTTTACTGTTATTGATAAACTAAAGATTATAGTAATACTGATGCTACTACTATTTTTAGTAGTTACTTACTGCTACTTCTGCTGTTGCTGCTACCACTATCACTACTACTACTACTACTACTACTACTACTACTACTACTACTACTACTACTACTACTACTACTACTACTACTACTACTGCTACTACTACTACAACTACTACTACTAATAATAATAATAATAATTTGACCTCCTTCAAAATTCCTATATTCTGGTCTATGTGGTATTCGAAAATCTTCCTCAAGCTTCTATCATATGAAAGAATTAAATAGTAATAATAATAATAAGATGATGGTAAAATAAAAATAATAATAATAAAGACAATAATAACGACAATGACATTAGCAACGATGAGGACGAAGAAGATAGCACGGTGGAATAACATAGCGGGATAACCATATGAAAATGATGATGATACTGATTAAGATAATGATTACGACGATTATGATAATGATTGCGGTAATTATGATAACGATCCCTTACTTATCAGTAAACGATGCTTTTTCCAAAACGTCTGTCGTTAATTTGTTGAGGAACTCCGTGTACTTATATTCCTCCGCTAGACTTTAAATTCAAAATTTAAATTATTAATTTCATAAATTTTCATTTAAGAATAATAAAAAACAATAATATTATAATTATTAATATTATCATTATTTTTCAGTTTCTGAGAGTTATTATGACAAAATTTTAAAATCTAACACAGTACAATATAATATACATTGCGATGCCACACAGTACCATACCATGTCTCACATCAGGGGTGGGCAAACTTTTTGCTGTGAGGGCCGCATTGAGAAATATTTCACATCTGAAGGGCCGTACACGTACTTAAATAGCAAATTTTTTCGACCCGGGAGAGATTTTTTAAAGATTTGTGGTTCCGTAGTTTGCCCACCCCTATCCTACACAATACAAAACGATACGATACCATAAAATACCCAATTCGATACGATACAACACAAAACACAATATCCAACAACAACGACACGATACCATAAAATACCCAATTCGATACGATACAACACAAAACACAATATTCCACCGTACCATGACTATCAAAGCAATTGACAACTAAGAACATCTAAGATATACATATACGCAAGAATAGAATCATACTCGGCTAGCGATATTTCATTGTTGCCCTTGCAGTCGTTATTATATAACTGATAATTATTTTCAACGTTATTGTCATTCATTTTACTGGACCCCATCGTTTCAGTGGTCCATTTTTGGCTAACTTCACCTTCTTTTAATTTTGACAGCTGCTCTTGTTGCTGCCACAAAACGTGAAAATGTTTTTTTTAAATATAATAATGAAATATAGAAATAAATATAAAAATAATTATGAAAATAATAGCAAAAGTTTATTTTCGCCATATATTTAGATTGAAATACCTAAAGACCTATATTAAACAGTGTATGGATGTATTATATTACATTATTTTTGATTCTATTATATTTGTATCCGTAATGCAATACGTGTACATATAAAATGTGCCAAATATAAATACCTAAGTGCGAAACAGAATGATAAAAAAAGCATTATATCTAGAGTAGAACATATAAAAAACAAATAATTTTTTTAAATAAAAATCTATTCCTCCTACATCATCATCTTTGAAACTTCTGTAACTCGATTCCGCCGCTCTACTCCGCCTATCTGACAAATCCTTCAACCAAAGGACGTTATCCGGATCTAGAGATATATTCAACGGTGGGACGTCTTTTGGTGGAGAATGGGAATACGTATTAGTGAAACTTCTAAGAGTGTAATCGTCTAGTGTAGTATTCGGGATTGACAATCTTGGAATCGGTGGTCTGCTGCTGTTGATGTTGTTGTTCGGGTTCGAATTCCCAGTTGGGAAATGATTCTGTCGAGATGATGACGGTTTTTCAGTTGACGATTTCGGTGTTGTTGGTTGCGAAGCCAGCAGTCTTTGAAGTTGTTTCTGCTGTTGGTCCTGCTCTAGATCTACGTCGTCATCCGTGTACGTTGAACTCATCATACTATGTCTTCTAGGTGCTGTGTGGTGTGATGGTTGTCGTTCAGTGTTTTGATGGAATGTTATGTATACGTACGTAGTTAGTGTATACAATGGTAGAATTGTATTACGTATTTTGCTGCAGGAAATATAAGAAGTGTCAGTAATTAAAAGAACTTATAAATTTACATGTTACATTTCATTAACCGCCAATTTACATGATCACTGATTAAACATTTGAGTCTTTCTCGTGTCAGCTTAACGACTTCGCATTTCACAAAGACCAATGAATAACAAAATTTAAAAGAAGCAGTTATGAAATTATGAAAACCTTTAGAAGCAGATTGTGATTTCTTGGGTGGAGGGTTGTAAACATTTAACTGGGTCAATTTTGATTGACAGTTTGACCTAATTGTTCTCGGCATGAATGGTTTGCTAATTGTGAACTTGTGGGAGTGAGCGTCCATGAGATCTGACGACGATTCGTACGTGGGTAGCCTAGAAAAGTATAAACGAATGAGGAAAAATAATCACCAATTTATTGAAGTTATGCTGTAACGTATGTACTGCAACTTTAAAAATTACTGAATAAATGAGAAAGAACTTTGGCTTAATTGGCGCTTTGGTGTCCAATCTCTGCGTATCAACAGTTGGTGATAAGTAACCAAGATTGGGATTGTGTATTGCCAGCATGGCTTTGATTGCAACGATAGCGTCCTTGTTAGACTTAGAAAGTTTTCTCAGCTTTTGATCTTTTGCTGAAGTAATGTTAATACACCAAAAATATTTAGGCTTGAGAATGATTAGTACTTCATTAAACACATTATATACCTTTTGTACTAGAAACCATAGCTTTCGGTGGCGCATTGTCTACGCATGCTGTTAAAGGTTAAATACATCATACATGTGTAGTCTCAAGATTCATTGACGCATAATTCAATCAAAACTTCAAAATGAGACACAAAGTATTTCAGAATCTAGTTAAAGAATGAAAAACTAACATTTAGCAGATTTTAATTTTTTATAATGACTGAGCATACGATTGGCCGCTAAATACTGATCAGTTAACGTTCCACCCGTTGGTCTCAACGCTAAGTGAAAAAGTAAAAATAAGCCCATTTACTAATTAATAAACCATCAAAAATTAACCAAACACTGATTAGTTGTTAAGCCGTAATCAGTAATGAATCTTAATTTTAGACAAATACGTAGTGTTATAGTGACATTTATCAATGAAAGAATAATGAAAAATCGAAAAATATTCACGAATCTCTACTTACGACTGCTCTTCAAATTGAGATTTCCTAGTATTGCTGAGTGAATTTCGTTCATGATTAAATTATAATTTAATATTTAATTTGACCAAATAATTACAAATTCATCACGCTTAAACAACTAAAAACCGTTTATTCCTTTAACAAAAAAGCATTATATATTCTGAAAACGGACAATTAAGGAGAAAAAGCGATAAACGTATGGCAGCGGTATCCAATGACAACCAGTATAAACATCAAGGCTGAGTTTACTTTTCGTTTTTTCCCAAAATCGATACGTTTATTTGTCATTCTTTTTTAGTAATTAACGACATTCAGTAGCATTTTGATCCAAATTTTTATATTACATATAGTATGCATAAACACCACATTACAATTACTAAATCTATATAATACACACACACGCACACAAACCGACACACGCGCACATACATATGACCAATATGGCCGTTTGAGTTATAAAAGAATGTATATATCTATATTTTTTTATCATTATTATTACTAATATTAATATTACGTTGAACTTTTATGTCGCACGCTACATTTAAAATTAGTATCATCATCATCATCGTGACGTTGACGATGATGTCGACGACGGTGGTGATGATGGTGACGTGAGTCATCATTATCACCATTCCATCTTTCTTCCCTATCTTTACTGGAATCAAGATGTCTTCGTTTTTTTCTGTAAACATCATCCTCGTTGTCATCGTCATCATCATTATTATTCCTATAATGATTCTTTTTTCCATGGCTGTGATCTTTTATCTTTGGCCGTCTGTTGTTTTCAGTGTTATCATTATCATCCTCTTCATCATTATCACAGTTGTCGTTTTTTCTCTTTCTTTCATGTCTATGATCATTGTCTCTATCGCTACGGTGATGGCAATCATTATTTTGTCTATGTTGGTGATCGTGATTTTTATTCCCTGTTCGACTCTCTTTATCGCCACGACTGCCATTGTTATCGCAATCATCATTACCCTTATCATCATCATCATTCTTGCTTCTTCTTTTTATATTATGTCTATCGCCCCTATCAACATCATGGTGATGGTTGTTGGTATCATCATTCTCATGTCTGCTGCGATGACGACGATGGTGATGATGCTGGTTGCTATCATTACCAGGATCATGAAGATCGTTATCATTACGTTGATGATGATGACGATGATGATGATTAGGACTATGATGATGATGATGATGGTGGTGGTGGTTACGGCGGTGATAGTGATTATTTTCCGAATTTTTCTCGTCTAGGTATTTCTCGTAGGCGTCATCAGATTTTTCTCTCTTAACTTTTACTTCCATTCTTGCTGGCCTGTCCTCATTATCATTATCATTGTCGTTCCTGGATATTTATATTTATTTATTTTATTTATTTAAGGATAAAATTGATACAAATAATTACTTTAATTAATTTTTTTTTTAAATTAATGAATAAATGAATGTTTATATCCATAGTGATTCATGTAGCACCCATGTAAAGCTTATATAAAAAAATGAAGAATTTCATTCATTTAAATATGTCTACACTTGTAAACATGAACATATGAAAAAATAATGACATACCTTTCAATAGAATCATTATTATTATTACTGTTGTTGTTGTTGTTGTTATTATTAGCATTGTTCTCATCAACATTTTCTCTCTTGATGAAGTCAAAGATGTCTCTAGCATCTGACTTCTCCTTCAATTTTTCTTCTTTTTTATCTTTTTTCCTAATCTTTTTACTCAACTTTTCAATTTTGATGTCGGGGCCACAGCCGGCAGAACGAACCAATTTTGTTAACTCATCCTCATCGCCAGATTCTTTTGGGATTTTGTAATCTTTCACATGCTCGACTCTTATCATTCTATTTAAGATCTGCAATTGGCGAATGATTACTTGAGAAGCGTTTTTAAAAAAATTCAAATGTAGTTGTTTTGAAATTTTCAAGTTTTACAAAGAAGATTCAAAATATAAATAATTTGTAATTTATATAACCAAAAAAATAACTATTGTACATCTATATATACAAATTAATATTAAGGACATTAGATAAATTTTTAATAACATTACTACAATAATATTATTACCCCTGCTGTTACTATTACATTAACTACTAATTGCTAACTAACACTATTTCTTAATTTGTTTTTCTATGTTAAAAATGTTGACAGACCTTGATAGCATTGAGATTATCAACGGCCAGTATGGTGCTTTTTTGATCCTCGTAACAAAGGAATGCATAGCCCTTCTGCTTGCCTGTCGTCTTGTCTCGAATTAGATTAATATTAACTACTTCACCATACCTGTATGTATGAGATAGAATTGGTGAAATTGGTGAAAGAAAAAAAATTACTTATTAATTATTATAATTAGACAAAAGCTTTAATCTTAATGTCTTTTAAAAACAAAGATTTTTAATTTTTACATTTACTAAGAATTAATTTAAAAAAAAGTCACCTACTGAGAAAAAACAGTAATAATATCCCCCTCTGTGAGATCGTAGGGAAGGCCCCCGACGAAAATCCAGGCACTGTCTTTGTAATCTTTATGCCAGGATGTGCTGGTACCGCTCAGCCCCAGTTCTAACTCTTTCTGGTTAAGTTTCTGGAGGTTTTTCGTGTTCCTGAGCAAAAATTATTACCCAACAAATCAAATTATTGAAAAAATACGCCCGTACATTTCAATATATTTGAATAATTATTTTAAACATATTACTTACGTAAGCGGATTCATAGCTTTGTTTAATTAAATTTAGATGACACTAGCACCCTAAACTTGATGATAAACAACCAAAATACGTTGTTTACAATGTTTATGTACAAAATTATCGCTCAATCTAACAACCCCACCATTGAAGGACAAGGTAATGATCTAAAAAGTGTTTAAAACGATTTTTTCAACTTTTCATGGAAAAATGGCATTAAAAACTAACCTTTTATGCGGAAATTGTGCAATAATATTTTTAGGACAGATTATTAAAAAATTTTCTTAACTTTTCATGTATCTTGTATAAATTAAAATATAAATTCGACTACACCACAAAACTAAAATATACAACACTTTTATACTTCCCCACCTTATTTATCGTGGATATGTATCCATGTTATTTATAGTCTGGAGTATTTACTTAAACTATTAGTCAGTTGCCAGAAAAGCATGTTAAGGACTGCATATAATCATTGATCTAATTAGCCACTACACAAACAAAAAGCAAAAACCAGATGGAACAGATACCAGAAGAAGCAACAGCCAACCGCTGTAAGAATAAATTTATGGGTGACAGTAGAGGAATTTTATTTTGACGTAAAAACAAAAAAAGACGAGCGAACCGCGTAGCCCGAAACGAAATCTAAAACCGCGAATTAACAAACATTTCATTACAAAAATCTTTCTTGCCTTTATTCGTACAAAAGAAAGTTTCAACTGGATTTTCGGTATGCACAATCAATACATGAGTGAATTTTATAATCAAATCATATTTAACACGCGGATTTAATCAAATCCGTTGAAAAAATAGTTTCAGTGTTCAATACAGAATCAAATAATCATTCAAAATGCACAACTACTGAGCAATGTAACTTCAAAGTAAGAAATTATGTACTGTTATAAACACAGATAACAAACTGTTCACAATGTCACTAAAACATTGGAACAAATAAAGCCCATAACTGCTGATTCTTATGGGCAGGATGGGCAGGTGTGAAGGAATCTAGAGAGCAGCATTACAATGAATTGTACTGTACACCTGCCATTACACATCTGAGCTTTTCTTGCAGGATTAAGCTCAGGTTGATGTGGTGCAAGATTATAATCCAACACAGACATATCATTCATTAGGACATCTTTCAGCAATGGAGTTTCAGAATAGACTGAACCTTTTCAAAGCTCATTAAATTCTCAAAAATGAAAAAAAACAAGATTTCAATATATGTAATTGTAAAACAAAATAGTTCTATTCAACGAGTATAGGGATATTGTTACATTTATTTTAGTGTGAAGTTAATTTGAAAATAAACCTGTGAAAAGATGCATCAGAAATTTTCTCATTTCTATTTATTATTAATGCAATTTTTAATGCAACAGGTAGGCATGTTTGTGTATAGCTACGAAAATGAAAATTTACTTAAAAACTAAATTATTGTATCTGACACGAAAATTAGTACAGAAACAAAAACGAAAGAATAAATGACAATATAAAAATTTAAACATTGATTGAAAGAGTTTATTCTAATTATATGGTATGGGCAATTCGTTGCGAAATCGTTGGAGGAAATGGTGTCAACAGTAATTATTTTACTGCATGGTAGTTAATCAGCCGGTATAAAGGTTATATTCAATTCCTATCAAATAAATTTGACAAAATATACACAGGCAGAACTAAATAAAGAAATAGACATGTAGTTATAATACATTTATAATGTTGTATTTACACATTCAAATTGTACAATTGTGTTATGGTGTAGTCTCAAATTATTTTAAATTCTCTCAGAAAATTTTAAACGTTTTACTACACTATATATACTAATTATTTTTATCAACAATTTAAAAATTTTATCAATAATTAAAAAAAAAATTTAAATTGATTTCATTGCGATATCACTAATGATTTTG